CAGCCATAAAGTTTGTTGGGTGACTATGCCAGTCATTTTCTTACAACCTAACCCTCTCGAAGGTTTATTGTGTGAATGAAATGGATAATAACTATGCCACTATGGGCTCCTTGTGAATGTTGGTACATACTTGAATTAGAAGACTGTGTTATCCACCTCAAGTTTCTGATGAAAAAACTGAAAACCTATTGAACATCTCAGTGCTGCACAACAGAATTAGTAGAGCCTGCTTGGTGTTTGGATGATTGGTTCCTGAGGCTAAATAATGCTTGAGTAGCTCATAGGTTGAAACCAAGGATAACTCTTGCCGTCACAAAGTTTGCCTTGATTTCAGCCCACTAAGAAATTTGTTTATCCATTTCATTAATGGTACTGCAGTGCTTTAAAAGCTTCATTCTTCAATTTTTTATTTTTTTTGCATGAAATCAGTTTTGAATCACAGTACCTGGTAGTCAGTGTGAAACAGCTGCCAAAGATAAGACTTTCACAGGTTGTTGTGCAACAAAAATAGAGTGACTAATAGTAGAAGTGGTCTTATTTATAGAAAGCTCTGTTTTTAGACTATATTTCTAAAGCAAACAGCTGCTACTCTGTGTATTTTAGAACCTTGGAAATGCAGGGGTGGCTTGTGTGGGAAGAACAAGCACTCCACAGAAAGCTAGAAATTCCTGTTAACCTTTGACAGGTTGATGTTGAATGAGGCAAGCAGCCTCTAAAGACAGCTGTGTAGCAGGTCCTGTTGGATCTGTCAGTGACCAGTCATTTTGCATAGAATTTTTTAAAAATTACATGCTTCCATAGCAGGCACATTTCCTTTGAACTGTGTGCCTTGCATTACCTTTTGAATCACTTCTGAGGGGCTGAAGTATGTATACAAATAGCAGTGCAGTTCCAAATCTTCTCAGCAGGTGTTGAGTTTTGCTTTCAGGGAACCTTAATAAGATTCAGTCCTAGAAATAGTTACAGGGTATATTGTATGGTTGTTCCAAGGCAACTGTAAATGCTTAAGTAGCTAAATGAACAACCATTTACGTTTAAATATTGAAAATGCTGAGAGATTACATTTGCAGGAATATGGACGTTTCCCCCACCCTCATTTGCTTTAGTTATCTTAGTAAAAAAAGTGTAATCTTCCTCAGATGTATCTCTCCTGTAGTTGTTGTGTTTGAGATAATCTAGTCTTGTGCACTGTGATTATTACATGTGCTTGTTTATATATGTGTCAGACCCAAGGTTCAAGTCTCCATCTAACCATGAAGCTTGCTGGGTGACCTTCAGACAATCCTGTTTCTCATGTACTTCATAGTATTGTTGTCAGGACAAGAGGGGGAAACTATATAAGATGCATCAAGGGCCTTGGTTATTATTGGGCTATACATTGGTGCCTCAGGTTAAGTACTTAATTCGTTCCGGAGGTCTGTTCTTAACCTGAAACTGTTCTTAACCTGAAGCACCACTTTAGTTAATGGGGCCTCCTGCTGCTGCTGCCGCCGCGCTGCCGGAGCACAATTTCTGTTCTCATCCTGAAGCAAAGTTCTTAACCCGAGGTATTATTTCTGGGTTAGCAGAGTCTGTAACCTGAAGCGTATGTAACCTGAAGCGTATGTAACTCGAGGTACCACTGTATGTGTATTATCATTAAACCACTGTGCTACTGATTATCCCATCATTAATTAGCTCTATGGTGGCTTTCCAGGACCTCACCCAGCAGTGGAGAATGCATCTTTAAATGCACCAGGTCAGAGTGAGGCTGCAGAGTCTTCTTCCATCAGCCCTCTCCCCCCCCCCCGCTGTAGTGAGCAGCACTATGTTTTTGTATAGCAGCAACCAGGGGAGAATGGCGGGTAAGGGGACCAGCGGAAGGGCAGCAGCAACTGCATTTCAGTGTGTAGACACTGCATATTGGTGAGACCTGGTGATCATGTTTTCCTTTGGGCTTTAATCCACCACACTCAATATAGTGGCCTGGGCCTTAAAGTGGATAATAAGCCAGGCAGGGTTTCTATGACAACTTATTTTGGAGGTACAGTACAGGCAAGTCCTGAACGTAAGAAAAAAAGCCCTTAACTAAATTGGATGGTATGAGTAACACTTCAGAAATGGTAATATTGTGTCTTTGCTCCTTTGTTTTTGTTTCATCGGATAAATTTAATCTTCCCATGTTTTCCTTTTGTAATTCCCTCTGAGTTACTTCCTGTACACACACGTTTAAAGAAAGAAAGTGTGATTTTTTTTCACCATCAGTTTAAAGGGAAGTGTTAGGCACAAATTCTTTGTAAAACATATAAAACAACCAGTGGAATTTTTTCTCTCTCCTCATTTTCTTACACTAAAGTGGATGAAGAATGGTATAAGCTGCCATCCCTCTGGCTGGCTAATGTAGGTGAGGAACTTGATCACCTGACTCAAGTTTCCTGTTACAGATGTGCTTTTGATAGCACATTCCTCCCAAGCAGAATAAATGAGATGAATAACTTTATATCACAGTAAGAATTGCCATGCCTCTCTGTAACTTCCTTTCAGTCCTCATTTGCCTGTAATTTTATCATTAATCACAAAATCTAGTCTGCAAAAGTGGGCTTAAATCTGGCCAAATGTTGATTCTTTGTCCATTTGTAAAGATACTGTCAAGTTTGTAAAATGTGAAATGTAACTAAATATTTTTATGCTGTATTTTGTTTCCTGTCTAGATACTTGTTTAGTATATAAGCCTCGACATAAATAAAAACACATTTTTATCTTTTTCTGAGACCTATTAAAAATGAACAAACGCAACAAATTTGGATTAAGGAAAAGAAATCTCCAGTCTGAATGTTGTTGTTGGGATCTAAAGTACATTATCTGTGCATCCAGAGGTTTTTGCATATGAACCAGGGCTGCCCCAGTTCTGCTTTTTCAAAGAAACTTCACCTGCTGAATCGAATCAGAGTTTCCTGCCAGTGGTCCCCCTAAGTTTGGGGTACAGCTTGTTCAGTTGCATTGGAACTCTGACCAGTGTGTGGGAAGTTTTACAGAACTTTGCTGCACAAGCAACATTCCCCATTCAGCCATTTGGGTTTTGTAGCCTTGCAAATAGGTTCACAAATACTTTTACTAGCCTGCCTGGCTAGGTACACACACCTGTACCAATCACTTATGTCACCCTGGTGGCCGGAATGGGAATCAAAACCTTCCAGTGCACAGCAGCATCCCTGCCTGTTCAATGGGAGGCCATTCTTGTTCTGAAAACCTGACTAACTGCCAGAATTAGAAGGATAGAACCTTATGGCAGGAAATATTGTCTAATATGGCACAATTGATGCTGTAATTTTTATATATATTAAATCTGTGCAAATGTCATATTTCAAGAAAGGTCATATGTTGTTTCAAAACACATCCAGTGGTTGTATGGTGGGGGGGGGATAGGGCTTATTGCTTTGGTAAGGTAGCATGACATAACATGTGCAGGAAATTTTAAATAGCTTAATGTCAGGATAAGCACCACGCTGCTGAGATGCAGTCACCTGTGTATTATTTGTTACATAATCAGTTCTTTCCTTGACTACTCAAGTAAAAGCCTATTTAAAATTGTCATTCTACACTGCATGTTTCTAGAAAGGGAAATGGTATTTACTACTAAAGTCTGTCGTCTGCAAACCTATCCTGGATTCTGTGTATCTGAAGAAGTGTGCATGCACACGAAAGCTCATACCAAGAACTAACTTAGTTGGTCTTTAAGGTGCTACTGGAAGGAATTTTTTTGTCTGGATTCTAGGAAATTCATATTAATGTTTTCCCGCTGAAATTTTCAACGTCTTCTGCAGTAGACTGAATTAATGCACATGTGGCAGGTACTTATTCTCTTGAGATAATCTGCTTTCAAATTTACAGTATCTTCAGCAGTGAACATTGGTAGAGCCTCAGCCCCCCCACCCCCGGCGCATATAATCATTTCACTTGTGGATGGCCGATGGTGGAAATATTCCAGTGTTTAGGTTAAATTGACACCAGGTGAATTCTTATGTGAAAATCACATCTGGTTTCTTCTGTATGTGTTTGTATTTCTTGCAATTTTATGATGTGTAAGGTTGTATGCCTGTTCTTGAAGTCATGCTTTTGTATATAAATGTTTTGTTAGTTAAAGCATGCCCTCCACTGGATTCATTTAGGTTTGAAATCCTTTTGAAGTTAGTTACACCAGGGAGAACACTGACATATTCATTGGTCAATTCTGAAATGTTGCTATAAAGCTTCATAAAATATTCTATATAAAGTCACGGTTGTGTATAGTGCGGAGGGTGAGGGAGCAAGAACTTTCCTTTGTCCCCCTTTCTCCAACACATCTGCCCAAAGAGAAAAATGAAAGAGAGAACTCTTTTCCTTGCATGGCCTTCTGTATCTCTCTCTTTCCTCTGGATTTTCTTAGCTTGGAAGGACAAGATGGAGTGGGGGCGGAAGGACAGATTTGTGAATATATGTATAATGGAGAACTAATCCTGAAAGAAAGCTCTTTGTTATGTAATTCTCTCTCTCTCTCTCTCTCTCTCTCCAGCCCAAGCCCTTTTCTGGCTTAGAAATGCGGGGGGGGGGGCACCCTGTACCTCAGCTCATAGAGCACCAAAGGTGCATAATGTGCTCTAATACGTCTCATTCTCCATTATACTTCTCCTGTTGGGAAATGACAGCTAGTCTGTCACATACAGATACCTGGGAAAGTTTAAAGACGGAGGTGTACATGAGGATGAGATATCAAGCGCTCTTCTGATTTTGCCGCCTTTTCCAATGGTGTTTCAAATAAACGTGATTTCACTTAAACACGTGGTGCCTTGGAACGTAACCCCCACGTAAATTGGGAGTTGCCTATAAAGAGGTGGAAAGGCATTCCCATGTAACTTGGCCCTCATCAGATATTTGAGCCCCTGATCAAGTAATATTTGGACAAAAACAGTGCTAAGAACATTATCAATAGCACACTTTTTTTTGAGTGAAACAGGTTAGGTTCTTACAAAAAACAGTTTAATTAGAACCTTTGTTGGCAGCAGATGTGTTCAAGAATGTTTGCTTCAACTTGAAACATGCCATTTCAAAATGAGAATGCAACCTCTCAAGCTTCTAATCTGTTCCCTGAGAAAGAAAAAAAATGGAGCCAAATTAACAACTGGGACATAGCCTTGTTGACTTCCTTGCATGGCAAGGTTCATGTCTTCTGTGTCAAGGGCCTAGCTTTAGGCCGCTTCATCAACAGTTATACTTGTGAACAAATGCCCCAGCTGACAACATGAAATGGCAGCCAGTCTACTTACATGCAAGTAATTTCTGTGTTTCTCTTGGGGCATCTGGATTGTACAGAAGCACACTGGGGCAAAAAGGAGTACGCTTGTGTGCGCACAACTGAAGTATCCTGCTGCCCAAGTCCATAATTCAGCATAGCTGGTAATACCAAAACTGAAATCCCCTGTGTGTCAAAAGAGCAGTACTACTGTTTTCGTATGGCATACATTTGCTGTAGAAAAACTATAAAGAACAGTGAGTCATTACTGCTTTAGAATAGCTAAATGTACATTTCATCACCACATCTCAAATGGGAACATTTACATGTATCCTGTCTTATAGATCAATTAATGTTGTCATTTTGTAAGTTCTGCAAACAAGTATTTTCATGTTAGGCTTGACTAGTAAAATAACATTATTACTTGGCATGGGTTTTCTGCTTTTGTTTTGCCACATGTAATCTGAGAAGTCTCATCTATCTCATTGTGACAGAAGACATTTGCAACATTAAAAAGGCTGGTTGTTCTATTATCAGAAACAGCTAGGTAGGATACATCTGTGACCCAGGCATTACTTTCGTTTGGCTTTATTTGAGCTCTATGTTTTCTTAGTTCATCTAACTTAAAAGGACCAGGTTTAACTTAGAAAAACCTCTGTTTTATAGCAGTTGGAAACCTGATTTACTTCATGGGCAGTTATGTACAGCATTCAGCTTTGGTCAACAAAAGGAAACAGACCATGCTTGTCTTAACAGGTATTTCATCTGTCACAGCAATCATGCACAAGACTCCTCATTCATTTCTGCAACTGCCCATTGAAATTCCTTTCCTCTTTGTCAACAGTATTTTAAGCTTAACCTGGATTTCTAGTTTTTAATGGCACAAGGAGCATGCATGTTTCACATTATTTATGTAATGCCAAAATCCTTGTTTGGAAAATATCTGGTGAATTATTGAGCAAATTAACTTCCTTCAGATGTTAAATTTCTGTTGCTGATACTATAACATGAGAAACGCAATTCTTGCTTCAGAGGTGGGGTGGGGGGTAGTAATTCTCCTGTCTCCCACTTTAAAGAGAGAGAGAGAAGTAATGGACACTTGTCGTGAGGGGAAGGTTGTTAGCATAACAACTTAGAAGGGATTTTTAATGACTTAAACCAGGAATTACCAACCTAGTGGGCACATTTCAAATTTTGATAGTGATGGGGGCACCAGTAACAAAATGGCTGCCATGGGGACTGTGGCATAACACAAAATTAGAGAGACAACCACCCCCAACAGCCTTATGCTTACCGCAGGAAGTCAGCTATATCCTGTTAGTCCCGATTATGGAGATCATCTCTCTCTCTCTCACTCACACACACACACACACACACAAACACTGATGCTGTTGCTGTCTAACAACAGTAGAGAACATTCTTCAGCAGTAGGAAAAATATACAAGGTAGCCACACCACTCTCATTTGCCCAATATTTTTCTTTCTAGCAGGGCTGGCACCAATCTGGTGCCCGTGGGTGCAGGATTAGCGAACTCTGCCCTAAACAAAGAATTGCAGGTTCTGTTGTGCATGCAGAATGAAATAATATTTATCGGAATAATATAAGAACAACAATGAAGTCAGCAATAAAGTAGAAACTTTTGGCTTTACCGAAGTTTAATGCTAGAGAAAGCATTGTGAATGCATGTGACTTCATTGACTTGAATGACTATTATTTAGATTTTAGATAAATGATTTTATGGGATGCATGTGTGTCTGTTGTTGATTGCATATTTTAATAATTACATATTTTAAAATAGGTTGCAATTTATATTTGAAAGCAAATGCATTTGAATGGAAATATTCTTTCCATTTTTTATTCATTGATTTTTTACTCCATTGTGTTTCTGCATTGAATGGTAGTTTGTTCTTTCAAAAAGCATGAAGGATTTTCTCCTATCTACATGTAAGAATATGTAAATCGGAATGCATTTTGATTTTAACCCTTTAAATCTATTTCTGAGTGTTTTCTTGAAATGGTGCTTTCTAGGCATTTTGTGTATTTTTAAAGTGAGCTGTATCACAAAACTTGGATATGTGCAACAACGGGCGGGGGTAGATTAGCTGTACTCTTGTCTACCACCTTAAAAAAGATATGAGAGTATACACACCCTAGCAGTGAGGGAGAAAGGCTTCTAGTCTTCATATAATTTTAAGAAAGAAAAAGCAAAAAGCTTCCAAAGTGCCAAATATTTTTGTGGTAGAAGTAACCTTGCTGGTGTTTATCTCTTCATTTTTTTTTAATTGGCTACATAAGCAATCCTACTGTTGTGTGCTGCAGTGGTGGAATGACATATTCATAGGTAAGTGTGGATTGTTTAAGCCTTATCATGTAAAGGAGCAGTAAATAAACAATTTATTTGAAAGGTGACCATGGGTGAGCAAATTGTCACTAATCACAAATGATGTCAAATCCAGCAAATACCCATAATGCTCATACTACCTCATTCTACACAGCAGTCATAGATGCAATAGATACTCTAGTTGGGGGGGGTGGTGAACAGAATTTCCCTAGAAACAAAATATTGTAATTGGAGGGCTTGGGAAAAGTTAAGCCTTGAGGAAAGAAGTACTGTACTGCACAGAATAATCATGTGTCATGGTCGCCAAATGCAAAGAACAAACAACAGGGAATGTTCTGCTTGTGAATTTTGTAAGGGCATCTGACTGATCGCTGTTGGAGGCAAAGTGCTGAACTTCATTGTCCTTTGTTCTAATCCAGCAAGTCATTTCTTACATTCTAACACACATTCACAACTCATCTATTGAGTCATGGGAACTGCCCTTACAGAAAGTATGGGAGTCACTTAAATTGCTTCCATTTCACTGGAACTACTCCTGAAATTAAAGTAAGGCTCATGTTTAAGTGCCTTACCAAATTTGGCTTGTAATGCAAGAAATGTTATCTTGAAGCAGTAAAAGAACATTCCGTTGAATCCCACCTCTCTTGGGAACAGAGTAGTTACAGCTGTGTGTACACAGTTCACAGCCTGGCAACTTGCACTGAAGGATTTCCCTTTTTTATTTGGGGAAAGTGTTGATCTATTTCAAGACATGGATTTGGTTTGAAAATCCTTTTCTTAAACTTATAAACCTCAGGGTTGGTTGTGTGTGCGTGTGTGTGGTTTCTTTAAAACTTTGTAGGCTGCATTGAAATGTTCTGTTTTGTGTCCTTCAGTCTTTTTAATTACCAGAACAAGCAGTAAAGAACAAATACCAAATGAATCTGACACCATCTCTAATCCTTGAATAGTTCCATCCTTAAATGATTAAATCTAAAGATGCAGCTTTTAACTATAAGCCTCCACTCACTCAGTTACTGTTTACTGTATAATAAAACAGATGGGATGGAGATTGCCACTGCGACTGAATTTCAGTGCTTGTGAGATAGTTTGAACTTCCGATTCAGAGATGACAATATGCTATCCATTGATCATGCAGTGGATGAGAGTAGGGGCCACTATCTACCCCTATTTAAAATGGGGCTGTGGGAAATGGAGTAGATGTTTGATTAGAGCTGGAGAGGGGAAACATGCAACATTCAAACAAATTTCAGTGCTAGAATGGCCACTTACTTGATTTCAGGGTGGCCAGCTGTTGCGACTCACTGCGGCACCTCCAAAGCCTTGCCATGTTGTTTCGGCCATTGGAAGCTTCCCCAGCTGCCACAGAGCATCATGGGTGGCCAGTATTTCAAATCTAGCCTATCCATGGCGGCCTGTGGGCGGGGCTTGGGGAGTGGACCTGGAGGCTGCAGTCTTCACTCAGGTCTGCTCCAAATTACTATGACTGAATCTGACAATTTGGCACAATGTCATAGAAACATAGAGCTGTGATGATAAATTTAGCAGCTTGCACTGTATTTGGATTTCTGTCCTGATCTGCTCCTATCAGCAAAAATACTGTACAGTGGTACCTCAGGTTACAGACACTTCAGGTTACAGATTCTGCTAACCCAGAAATAGTACCTCGGGTTAAGAACTTTGCTTCAGGATGAGAACAGAAATCGTGTGGCGGCAGCGGAAGGCCCCATTAGCTAAAGTGGTGCTTCAGGTTAAGAACAGTTTCAGGTTAAGAATGGAGCTCCGGAACAAATTAAGTACTTAACCCGAGGTGCCACTGTATTTACTTGAGTCTAATGCGACATCAAATCTAATATACACCTCAGTTTTGAAAACCTTGAAACCAAAAAAGGTATTTGCTGGCGAATGTAGATGTGTCATCAAATCTAATGTGCATTGAATAATTTTTTCAATGTATTTGATCATATGACATCATTTTGTAAGAGAATCTGAGGGGGAAATTGTGCAGGGGAATGGAGTCATTTTATCCTGATGTGTAAAGCATTACAGTCTAATCTTAAAAAGCAGCCTAATCTTAAAGTTAAGTATTGGTTTACACTGTCATAAAATCATGAACTGGTACATGGTTAGACAAGCATCTGAGGAATCTGACCTTAGGTTTTGCCCTCAGACCTTAGACTTCAGGGATTTTCTGTTTTATAATCATGAGACACGAAAGCAAGAAGGAGAATCTTTCAATAAGAAGATATTTATTTTAGGTTTCCAGACCCTTGATCATCTTGGTTGCCGTCCTCTGTGCACTATCCAACCTAATTTTTAGGTGAAAATCTGAAAAAGTGTTATTATGTAAAGTTTCACTGCAGCTGGGAAAGTACATCTCTGTTGCGAATGGTACATGTATATTCACCCTGCCTGCTATTTATAACATAATACGCCTGTACACACCCAAACTGGTTGAGGATGAAGCACTAACTCCCTTACATGAAGCAGAGATCATTTGTATGGCCAATGTGCATCAGTGACAATTCCCTTCCAGCCATATTTTTTGGTCCTTTCCCCATGTGCTTCTCCGAATCCTGTCTTCCCTTCATGCTCCTCTACAACCAATGAGTTGTAGGCCCTCAAGCCAGACACAGACTGATTTTTTGGGGCACCACACTTCACTCCAGTTTCTGGGAAAGTCCATTGACCTATTTCCTTGAAGCTGTGGAGAAGCTCTCCCGTTTCTCAGGCTTCTCCAGTGCTACAGTAAAGCATCCCACCGTCCCAGCAACGTACCCTAGCAATCCTTACTGTCCCTGCAAGGCAGGGTTTTTCATGCCCACTTCAGGGCACTGAAAATGGTAAACTAACATCCTGTAATCATTTGGATTTGCCATATGAGAAAACAACACAGTACTTGTAAATATTAGGGAGGGTGCTTTTTTGTAAAAGAAGTTGCCAGTTACATTTATATTCATTCAGATTACAGTATACTTTAACTAGAAGACTCTGGGACTTCTCAGGAAAAGTTGTAAAGAGAAATGGACATTTACACGGCAAAAAAAAAACAAAAAACCACACCCCAGGTTCTGCATAAGGATTTGGGCTCTTTATAAAGCTCGACTGCTTTCAGTGATTTTCCATACCACTGAAGTTCAGCTTTACAGTAAACTTGTCTTTTCTTTTTAAAGCCTTTTCTCAATTTAATTGTGGGAGCTGGTGTTTTGTTTCCCACCAGCAGGATATTTTACGAACGCCAGGACTTGAATTATTTATTGGAAGTAAAACCAGAGTTGCACATAAAGCATATAAGGAGAAGGAGGTCCCAGCACCATGGGGTGTTTACAAAGAGCAGGATTAAAGAAAAATGGTCTACATAAGCCAAGTAGTTGTTGTTGTTTTTAAAAAAAACTTTCAGCCTTACCCTTCTCCTACCCAGTTGAACGTTGCAACAGACTTGTGAGGCAAAATTAATTAGCTCATATGCATTTATTATGTACAAGCACACCATAACTTCTAAGAAATAAGTGCTACTTTTAGTTCACCCCCTCATCAAAGCATTGTGATGCAGATGAAATAGCTATGTGTAAAGAGCAGTCTGGTGGGCACAAGGTTGTATTAGGGTATGATACCATACATGGAAAGTTGTTTGCATTTCCATTGGGAATAAGCCCCATTAAACGCAGTTAGGCTTATTTTCAAGTAGACATGCATAGGATTGAGCGATAAAAGAATATAGCAAATTGTCTAAGCGTGGTTCCAGATGGATGCCTATTGTGTTCTTCATGCATGCAGGTTTTTTCCTGCATCCACACGGCATCATTAGCATTCAGATACCAGCTCATATTTTTCTATTTCATCTGCATTTCCCTTTCCAGGCAAAATCTGATTAGTAAAAAACAAACAAACAAACAACTACCAGTATCTATTTGAGATAACTGAATGATCCATTCGCATACTAAGTCCTCATCTGGAAGTAATCTGAGTGCCATTTTTAGGATGTTAAACTAACTTACCTATGTTTTCATATGCACACCTGCTTCAATTTCAGTTGTTATTAATACATTTTAATACTTTGATTTTGCAAACAACTTTAATTCAGTTAATTGTACTGTAATCATATTAGTAATTAAGAGCAAAAGTTGATGCAAGAATCCTACGTTGGGTTCTGGAGTTTTGTAGGTGTTAGGAAAGCCGTTGTGTTTTCTCCAGTACTTAGCAAATATTCCAGATGGGTTTAAATAAGGAAACTGCAAGGTTGTGCTTTGAGGTGGAAGACACATTTCTGTGATTATTGGGTCTTACAAACCACCCCGCCCTGGTTGCCTCCACCGACCAGAGCCAGTTGAGCTTGGCCCCATCAAAATTATTTTATTACTTTATTGCTGTTCACTTAAGTCTTGAGGCTATTTAAAATTGTACAATAACAACAACTGTAATAGGTTTTAAAACAATGTGAATGTTAAGATTGCTTTTCATTAAAAAAAACCTGTCAGGGCTTTCTTTGTTGCATGCATGTAACATGTAGTTCACCTCTTAGTGGTGTTCAACAATGAACTGTTATATTCAATGAGGTAGGGATGACTTGTTGGTATGGGAGTGTTACGGCTAAATCTGGGTGCGGGGCTACACTGCCACCCAGCTCGTCGGACTAAGTGTCCGCGGGTCCCTGCAGAAGAAAATGAGCTCAGCCGGACAGGAGCAAACTTGAGGCATTATGGAGGGCAGGGGAGGGGTGATGGAGTCCTAGAGAAATTGAGCAAATATATTGTAGTGAAGAAGACATGCCCCCCCCTTCCGTAACAGGGAGAGATGTGATTCATAAAGCACTTCAAACAACAGATTTCTGTTTCTTCCTGTGTCTTTCAGTCCTGGGGGAAACCAACACTACTTTTTCTGTTTCCGCCTGCAAGTGGTATTTCCTATTCTACCAACAGGAAACAACCTTTCAATATGCATGAATTAATTTGTCCTCAGCAGACTAATCCTTAAGGATGGCTTGTTTAAACACATTATGCTAATCTGAGTTATTGTTCTAACTTCATTGGGAGAAAAGCACATTCAGTTTTTTTGGTTTAAGACAGTGGATTCAGATGACTGTTAACCATGTGGGAACTGCTTCAATGCCTCTCTATGTGAACATGGAGGTTTAGTAGTTCCTGGTTGCCTGAGTCCACCCTCACTCCACATTTAACAGTGCAAAAGAAGTTGTGATTTTCAGTGTTTTAAGTCGTAACCAAACTACCTCATTTCAACAGAGTGATATGTTGCTTCCTGGCATTTTTGCAAATGTTAATTTCCATCGTGCAGCTGCCTTGTGAGCATTGCTTGACCTTTGTGTTATCTAGTTGAAACTAATTATTGCTCAGTTTTGCAGGCCTTGTCAGCTGGCCTGGCCAGCCCATCCCCTTTCCATTAGTTTCCCCCAGGCAACTTTTCACACTGGACATAGAAAGATTAATCACTCATTCTCAGGCATAGAAAACTGGAAGCACTGGGAGTGTAAGCTGCCATTGAGTCTTCCACATCAGCAACTCATCTGCTCCTTTTCTGTCAACTGTATCCTGGAGGCTGCTTCTGAGAGCTACTTTTCTTGTTTGAACTAATGTTTATTGTCATCACCTCAGCAACTTTTCTGGAAAAGGCTATTGAAATCAGGGTGATCCTGTAGCTTGGGCAGTGTTATTAAATGTCGATATAGTGAAGGTTATTGGGCTTTTCAAGAGATCTTATAAGTTGACAAGGAAAAGAACATTAGTGTAATGTAGACTTGACATTGGGATGATAGATTTGGCCTAAAGGTGTTATACTTGAAGAAACGTGTAATTAACAAGAATTCCAAGAAGTGCCTCATGTGACTGAATCCAGCCATTGTGTCAATGTTCCACAATGGTCAGAAGCATCATGGGAAAGGGTAGCTAGAGCCAGGCACCAGCACTGATTGAAACATTTCCGTTGCAGCTACCGTATGTAGGTTGGCCTGCCAGAGGATAGGTTGTCTGGGGTCCATCAAAGCTAGAGTCCCATTTGGAGATGCTGGGGATTAAACTTGGGACTTTTCGCATGAAGACTATGTGCTCTACCACTAAACTAAGAGTCTTCACCGCTTTGGATTTTGTTTTGTATGGGCAGGAACCTTTTAAACTGATTTCAGTGCAAAGCTCAACAGCATGAAAGAACAGCGAGTTCCCTTTTCGATTCTAATAAGCTGGCAGTAATGAACAATGAGCTAATAGATCTCATTTGCAAGGTATGATCATTTCCCTTGCCATAGGACTCTGAAGAAATAGGCTGCGAAAGAGGAATGGTTATTAGCATAATTCTTTTGCTGCTCATACCATAGATGTCATAATAAACATCAGTAGATGCTTGTGACCTAGAAATCTGCTTTTAGGTTATGTAAATGCAAATGCTTAGTAATTAAATAATTGGAATCAAGATACAGAAGTCAATTTAAAATAAAAGGATACTTGTTGGATACCTCACATTTACTTATTTGTGTAAATTAGAAAAATAACATTCAATATGGTAGGAATTAAGTACCGTAGGTTTTGCTTTTGAGGGTTCTGCTGACCACCAAATGCTTAGCATTGGATTGCTTAGAAGTCACAAATTCCTTCTTACACAACTGTGTTGGACATAATTAAATTAGTATTGCATTTGGAGATACAGTAATATTAATATTAATATTAATAATAATATTTATAAATGCACTAGCCACTTTTCAGCGTAAGGTCCCAGGGTAGGAACAACAATTTTAAACACAACATTGACAATTGTTTAAAGCAAACACCATATATGTAAGACCGCGTCACTGGAGGATTAAGATTATATTCGTATAATTCAGCTCTCACTTTCCCCCCATCCAGTTCCTTCTTTCTGTGTTTTTTCCCCTTTTTTCAGGTTAATATTATGATTGAACAGTTGGAGTTAGGAGCAATAACAAGAATAGTAATAATAACTTTGGCTTGTCTTTCTTTCCCATCAGGTGGCAGTGAAAGTTATTGATAAGAAAAGAGCCAAAAAGGACACCTATGTCACCAAGAATCTGAGGCGGGAGGGACAGATCCAGCAGATGATCCGACACCCTTACATTGCTCAGCTGCTGGATATCTTGGAAACGGAAAACAGCTACTACCTTGTTATGGAGCTTTGCCCAGGAGGCAACCTGATGCACAAAATCTATGAGAAAAAGAGGCTGGAAGAGCATGAAGCACGCAAATACATCCGGCAGCTTATCTTGGCTGTTGAACACCTACATCGTGCAGGGGTGGTTCACAGGTGAGCTTGCTTATTTATTTAACATGAGTGTTCTGCTTTTGAAGACCACCCTTCACAGAGATCTTTACAGTATATTCACGGATGCAAATATCATTTGGCAACTATTAAACAATAGTTTAATAAAATCAATCTGTCGTTACATAAATTAAGCAGTGGCGGTTATAAATAAAACAAGATGGAACTTGTATGTGAAAAGTCTTCCCAAGGGAAATTGTATCATTCTTGTTCAGTTCAGAGTTTCTGGTGGTCGGTTAAAACGTACATTTTGCAACAGAACTTTTGTGGACTCCGATTTTATTTTTTTATAATTTGTTGCTAATTCTTGATACGCCAGTTTTTTTTTAAAAAAATAAACTCTAGTTAGTTCACTGGTTAATTTTAAGTGTTTTTTAAAATTATATTTTGTTTTAACTATGGGCTGTAATCCAGTTTGAAAGACTTAATGGCAGAAAAGGCAACCTAAATGGTTAAATTATATACCTATCTTTTCTACTTTGTGTGATTTAGTTGACTGGCACAATATCCAGCCAGGAGTGTAGAGAGTTTCTTTATAGGCAGGCTCTAAAAGTGTGCAAGCACTATGTGTCACATATCAATTCAAGCAGTTTGCTATTATTTTAATTATAATGGACCCTTTAAAAAGGAGTGCTAAATCCATGTTTTAGAAAGTCACAATTCATTCTTGCCTTAAGTGCAGTTGGCGATGAAGTTATTTTAAATCAGCTCTAAAAATAACAGCACTTGCACATTTGTGATCTGTAGGTGTTCACATTCTCTCTTTATGATAAACAAGACGTGGCTGTTCTTGGGGGATGGAATTTCTTGCTGCTGTACCTTTTACAATATATACTCATGATCTCTGAGCTTGTTTAACAGAACAGGTGAGGACTTCCACCAACAACAACAAAATCAAATTCATTAGAGATATTATTCAGCCGGCTCTATCACAAATTATTTGTCCTTGTGTGGTAAAGTAGGTAAATAATTAGACTGAGGGAGAGGAGTGATTAAATTCAGTCATCTTATCAACACGAGTCATGCTATTGAAAATTGATATTAGTGAATTGTAATTATTGAAGAACCTTAAAACTTTTATGACCTTGAATTCAGCTATAGAAAATTTTACTGTCATATGAAAATACTTGGTATTTTAAGGTTAAAAGAAGTGTTCAAGGTGTCCAACTCTTCAGCTAAGGAAATATTTATTCTTTTGTCCTGCCTGTCATTTTCAGTACTTGGCCTAAAATTGAAACCTCCTTAACCTTGTGAGCTGTAGTAGCCTGGTTGACATGTCACACTGTAAGCTAAACTGTGGCTTACTGAGGCTGCCTGAACATACTGATTCTCCTTTGTTCCTCCCTAGTCCTCTTAGTTTTTAGTGTGCTGTGTTAGTTAAGTCGAGGCTTGGCTTAGTGTGTCATCCAAACATGGGATTTTGGTTAAGCTCTTTTCTTAACCGTGATATCTAGCCAAGGTTTTCTGCAGATCATGGTTAAGGAGGAGAGAGTTTTAAGCACAGTCCCGCGTTCAGATGACACACTAAGCCAAATCTTAGCCGCCATGTTGTGTTGAAAGAATTGAGGAGGAGCAAAATGGAAGCAGTCTCCTCCCTGGGAGCCAGCACATTCATGCATTCGTGTTAAACCGTGGTTTGACTTAGAATGATGTGTGAACACAGCCTGTGTTCTGTAAACTCTCACTAGTAGCCAGTCCACCAGTATCCAACAATTTTCTGGGTCGTGAGCTCGTCATTTTGAAGCCGCGGCTTCACATAATATATGAATCCTGTTATCCTGTGAGAGAACAGAGAGTTGCCAGTGGAGTGTAAGCTCTTCCTACACTACATGAGCCCACTGCTTCACCTTCCCATTCCCAACAACTCAAAGGGACAATGGGGCAAACATTACACCAACTTGCTTTTCTAATTTTCTGTTTTGGGAGTTTTAACAATGAAGTACAATCAAAGGCTGTAAATCAGAACCCAAAAGGAGGGTTTACCTAGCTAATTCCTAATGTTTGTCCACAAAATTCAGTCCTCCCTGGGTGTTTTTCCCAAAGAGATGACGTGAGGTTACCAATATCTTTAAAAGAAATTCATAGGTTCCTGTCATGTGTTGTTTGCCCCGTGGTTTGTTTTTGTTTGGGTTCTGTGTGTTCAGCGTGGATAGCTTTGGACAGCTTTAAAAGGGGAATAGGCAGATTGATGGAGGATAAGCAGAGGCTGCTAGTAGTGATGATTGTGTTCTGTGCCCAGTGTTGGAGATTGAGGGCCTCTGAATACCAGTTGCAGAGCGGGAAGCGTGCTTTTATTCCATTTGTCAGCTTCCCATAGACATGTGGTTGGCCACTGTGAGAATAGGATGCTGGACTATATGGGCCTTTAGTCAGCTGCAGCAGGGCTTGTTATGTTCTCAGAATCTGTTTTGGTGCTCAAAGTGCCAAAGCACTAGGCATCCCAGAGGAGCTCCTCTTATTTATTTCTACCCTGCCATTCCTTCCAAAGGAGCCCAGGGATGCTCCTTTTAACACATTCACCATGCCCAGTCATTTTGCTTGGGAGCTATTGGCTTCCCTAGGGTCTTCCATCATTAATTGGACTTTAAGGCATGTAAGATGGGTACTGTAGCCTTCTTCATGCTCTTTTGGATTGCTTGTTGCCAGATTATATTGTAAAAGATGATTCTATGACTGTCAGTCTGTGTTTGTCTTGTCCTAGCAACGTTTGATGAAGCTTGGCTGATTTTCCCTTGACCTAATGAAGTTTGTAATGCCAAATTGAGAACCCCGTTTTAAGAATACTGTACAGCCTTTTTACAGCCAAAAGCTCTTGCCAAGCAGTCATTTCTGATGCCTGTCTCTGTGGGGTCATTTTGAGAAGGTCTGTAAACTTTGGCCTGTGGTTTGTTCATTGTTGAAGCCATAGAAGCATCAATCTCAAATCAGAATTAGATAGCAGTCATTGTCTCTTTGTCTGACAGCAAGAAAACAATCCCAAATGGCAATATATGGGAAGCCTTTTCTTTTTAGAAGATATTTACAGAGGCCTTCATGCTGTCAAAAACAGGATGAGCATTAAGCTTCCTAAGGGAGTAAGAACAACAAAGACAATGAAGTTAAGGCTTTGGTGCTTGCAATAGCATCCCACAGGAAATTCTCAACAACCCTTTTAAAGTAATTTTAACCAAATTCAATCCTATTCAGTGCAATTACTGTCAGAATGTCAGAGAAAGGAATTTAATAATGTACCAGTGGCAAAGACAGCTTCCTGTGTATCTGTTTTTTCCACTATTTCTTTCAGTGTGGAGCTAGATGCATATCACTTTGAATTTGGTTATTAAGCAATGCTTTGGGAGATGTTAAAATACACACATTTCTGTATTTTGTGAGCTATAATAGCATATGGATGTAAGAGACCAAAGTTTGAATGCTGTACCTCCATGGTATCACCTTGGACAAGCCACTATCGCTCCGTCTTCATTTCCTATCTGTAAAAGGGACTAAGAATTACCTTTTCATATATCATTCTCTGCATCATAGGTGCTGCCAGACAGCCTCTTCTGTCTGATAATAGCCCAAGTTTCCTGCATTGGGCCATGTCATGGAAGACTTGGAGGACATACCAGTTGAGAATGTAGGCAACAACTAGTCATAGGACATTCCTAATTCTTTCCTAATACATCTATTTTGTTATTCACCATGTCACTATACTGTCTGCTTGGGTCACTCATGGCATTTGGTTAGACCTTGGTGGATAATGTCAAAGATGTCTTTCCTTATACAGTACAACAATAACGTTCTTTTGTTTGTTTGTTATGACTTCCAATTCACATGGTTGCCCATAGTCAATAAAGAACTTTCTAATCACCTCTGAAGCATTGCTGAGGTATTTAAACCATCCTGACTCTCACTTCAAAAAGTGTGAGACTGTTTACAGCTGATGAAGCCTATTTGCAGGTACTCATTAGGTAACTTGCAAATGTCTCTTCTGAAGTTGCCCCCAATGAGGGCTTTCCTTCCAATGCACATAGCAACTTCAGAAGAGATACTTTCCTTTGGATATCACCAGGGGAGGAAAATGTTAAATTTCCTCATCCATGCCTGGTGCAATCTTGATAGTATCTCCTCCCCCCCCCCCCGCAGCTGTTGCTGTATGCATTTTTTAAAGTTGATGCATTAAACCTCTACAACATTTGGTTTGGCCTTGCTCCTTCTTGCTGTGTAACACAAAGTGTTAGCAGGATTGTCAAATGCTTAGGCATTTTTGGCAACTTTTTCTGTTCCAAGAGGTAACATTAATAGGCCCTCAGGTAGGTTGTTACGAGGATGACAGAGATAGTGATTGTAAAGCATTTTGAACATTGCAGAGGCTATGGAAATAAAATGCAAACAATGACAAAAACATTTGAAAGTCTCTGATAGCACCCCTCAAGTACAGTTATTCCAGGCATCTTAGATTTTGTTTCTTGGCACCCATTGCTTGATCTCTAGAAGCATTCAGCCAACTAATTTTAAGTACAGTCTGATGTAAAAGGCGAAAGATTTATACGATCTGAGGAGAAGCCAGAGTATAATATGATGATGACTTCCGGTTTGGATCGCCAGCAGTATGGGAGCGCGGAGAAGTGGCTGATCGGCTTCTCCGAACTGCACGGGGTTTTTGAGGGGCAACGCAAAGGCACTGCGACCCCAAAAATCTCCAGGGGGGCCCCCTGGAGGGAAACGCTACCAGCAGCGTCGGAAAGGTCGAAAGCTTTTCGGGATTTTTCCAATTTTTGGGAGGACTCCGGAGCCATGGGACCGAGACGCAATTTGGTAAGCACTGCGACCCCGCGCAGCTATGCCTCGAGCTCCCGCTGAAAAGCGGCGACAGATCTCCGAAATTCTTTAGAGCGGCTGCCTTGGAAGATGTTAAATAACCGTCGGTGTGTAAAACTAGAAGATTAGACTTCAAGGCGCGGCAGATGCGAACGGATTAATTTTAAGGAGCCTGACTGTATTTCGGAGTTAAGATGGCGCTGGGAGTTAAT